AGCAAGGTGCACCCTTCTGACACAGTGTGGTTCACACACACAGGGCCCTCCCTGCCCCTTGGCCACACTGGGAGTATCTCACACATGGTGCCTCACATCTGTTTCTTTTCATTTAATACCTACAGAATGGGAGAAAATATTTACAAACCACGTATTTGATAAAGGTTTACTATCTGTCTTAGAGTTCAGGCTACTATGACAAAATACCATAGACTGAATAATTTAGAAACAATAGAAGATTACTGCTGACAGTTCTGGAGGCTGGAAGTCCAAGATCAAGGTGCAGCAGATTCAGTGTCTGCTGAGGGCCCACTTCCTGGTCCATAAATGGCACCTTCTGTGTCCTCACACAGTGGAAAGACAAAAGAGCTCCCTCAGGCCTCTTTTATAAGGGCACTAATTATATTTAAGAGGGAAGAGCCCTCATGACCTATTCACCTCCCCCCCAGGCTCCCCCTCCTACTATCACCTTGGGGGTTAGGTTTCAACATGAATTTTGGGGGGGGAAACATTTGGATCATAGCAGTATCCAAAATATATCATTTTATATGTCATTTTAAAGACATAATTCCAAAGACAATTTAAATACATAATTACAAAAGAGCCAATAACTTGATTTTAAAAAATGGGCAAAGTAACTGAATTGATATTTTTCCAAAGGGACAGCTATATGCAACTAAGCCAACAGGTATGTGAAAAAGTGCTCAACACTACTAGTCATCAGTGAAATGCAAATCAAAACTGCAACGAGCTACCTACCACCTCACACCTGTTAGGATATCTCTTATTAAAAAACAAAAGATAAAAAATGTTAACAAGGATGTGGAGAAAAGAGAACTTGACAGTTTGGGTATTTGGCTGCTCCAAATCTCATGTTGAAATGTGACCCCCAGTGTTGGAAGTGGTACCTGGCGGGAGGTGTTTGGGTCATTGGGGGGGGGGGATCCTTCATGAATGGCTTGGTGCCCTCCTTTGAAAAGAGCCTGGCACCTCCTCCTCTGGTGTCCTTCCTCCTGCCATGTAACACTGCTCCCCTTCACCTTTGCCCGTGAGTGACAGCTCCCTGAGGTCCTCACCAGAAGCAAATGCTGGTACCAAGCTTCTTGTACAGCCTGCAGAACCATGAGCCAAATAAACCTCTTTTCTTTATAAATTACCCAGCCTCAGGAATTCCTTTATAGCAACACAAACGGACTAAGACAGAACGCTTGTAAACTGTTAGTAGGAATGGAAATTAGTGCAGTTTTTAGGGAAAGCAGTATGGTAGTTCCTCAAAAACTTAGAACTACCATATGGTGTGGGAATCCCACTTCTGGTTATATAGCAAAAGGAAATGAAATCAGTATCTTGAAGAGATAGCTGTACTCCCATGTTCACACTGCAGCATCATTCCCAATAGCCATCATATGAAAACAAACTTAAGTGTCCACTGCTAGAAAAATGGATAAAAAAATGTGGCATATACATTCTTAAGACAGAGCCAGGCATGGTGGCTCAGGCTTGTAATCCCAGCAACTTGTGAGGCTGAGGCAGAAGGATTGCTTGAGACCTGGAGTTTGAGGCCTCTCTTTGAGACTGCCTCTTAAGAAAAAAAAACAGAGCAGCACAAATTAAAACTTACCAATTGTCTATTTAACAATTGTGGACTGCGGTCAACTTTGGTTAACGCAAACCATAGAAAACAAAAACACAGAAGGGGACACTATTGTATTTTGAAATAAGTTCAGTTTATATCAAAATTGCAAAAATAGGGCACAGAGCTCCCATAAATTCTTCACTTGGCTTCCCCACTTGCTGGTCTTCCTGTATACCAAGAATAGGGCAAAGGCTGGGCATGAGGGCACTCTCCTACTTCAATCTCCTCCCTTATCCTTTGCACATCTAAATTACACAAGTACTCCCTGTTTTCTTAACAGCAAAACCAAACAAAAGATGCACAAACATACCTCCAGCACTTCCTTGCCAGCAGACTTGTGGTCCCTATACGCTATGTGCTGGCCATGGATTCTCCCAACTAGCTTTGACGGCTCTTACCTCTGCCTCATTTTACAAATTCCCCTACACAGACATCCAAGCTAAGGTATTCCCAAGCCACCTCCAAGAAGCCTGGTGACCACTTATGACCTTAGGACGGTAACTCAAGAAAAAGAACCACCTTTTAACCACTTCGGTACAAGCGTCAATTATAGTCGACAGCCACAGATGAACGTGCACAGCCCAGATGAACACGCACAGTGACTTTAGCCGACAGCCATATGAAGGCGCACAGCCAAGCATTGACTTTGGCTGACAGCCGTGATATGACTTTTCATTTATCAAAATAAAATTGTGAACATTTAAAAATAACGTAATGAAAACATATATGTATATGTTACCTATTCTGATTTACATTACAAGTAACGCTGCCTGTAAAGTAAAACAAGCTTTCAGTGCTTTAAAGCTTTTCTCATCACCAAGAGCAAAACGGATTTGTCCTCAATGCACAGCACAAACTATCCTGTGGACTATGAGTGCCGGCTATGGGCAAGGTTTCACGGCCAGTGAGCACTGTACCGAAGTGGTTAAATGCTAAAAAAGTCCCACCAAACCACCTTCCACCAAGGGAACCCAATGGCTCAACAAACCCCATCCTTGGAGTTTCTAGCCATTTGTAAAGACAAAGCCTCCTCCCCTCCCCCACCACCAGGAAACCTGCATGTCTTAGGTTATCTGAGGAATCTGAGAATTTACACTAAAAGGCCACAGCAAAAGGTTCCATCTATGGCCTCTATTCGCATCTTGCTCATTTTCTGTCTGTACTTGGCTAAGAGATGGCCCCCTGGTGCCAAACTTGCTCTGAACCCCCTGCACTCAAGCTACTAAAAAGCAAGCCCCATGGAGCACTGGCCCTGAATGTGGGAAGGCACAGGGCTGGCAGGGGCCCATCCTCACCAAGGCTGGCCATCTACAGGAGGTGCAGTATGGGGAAGGACCAGAAGCCCATGGCCACTGAAGGTGAGTCACAGGAACAGGCAGCAGGCAGAATGGTGCCCCCTCTCAAAAGATATGTCATCCACACTAACTCTTGGGGTCTGTGAATGTGACACTTGAAAAAAGAGTCTTTGCAGATAAAATTAAGTTCAGAATCTTGAAGAGATGATCCCAGATTATTCCATGGGCCCTAAGTCCAACGACAAGAGTCCTAATAAGAGATACACAGAGCATTTCTGATGGCTGGCAGAGGAAGCAGATGAAGGCAAAGGCAGAGATGGAAGTGACACAACATAGGCCAAGGGATGCCCAGGAGGGTAGCTGCCCCCAGAAGCCAGGCAGGTGGGCCCCCAGAACCCTGGAGGGAGCTAGCACCTTCATCTGGGATTCTGGCCTCCAGCACAGGGAGAGAATAAATTTCTCTTGTTTAGGCCACTCTGGGTGGGCTAGGCATGGTGCCTCATGCCTATAATCCCAGCATTCTGGGAGGCCCTAAGGCGGGAGGATTGCTCAAGGTCAGGAGTTAGAGACCAGCCAGAGCAAGAGCAAGATCAGGCGTGGTGCCTCATGCCTATAATCCCAGCACTCTGAGAGGCCGAGGCCGGCGGATTGCTTGAGGTCAGCAGTTCGAAACCAGCCTAAGTGAGACTCCATCTCTACTAAAAATAGAAAGAAATTAATTGACCAACTAAAAATATATATACAAAAAATTAGCCGGGCATGGTGGCGCATGCCTGTAGTCCCAGCTACTTGGGAGGCTGAGGCGGGAGGATTGCTTGAGCCCAGGAGATTAAGGTTGTTGTGAGCTAGGCTGATGCCACAGTACTCACTCTAGCCTGGGCAACAAAGTGAGACGCGAAAAAAAAAAAAAAAAAAAAAAAAGACACTATCTCTACTAAAAATAGAAAGAAATTAATTGGCCAACTAAAAGTATATAGAAAAATCCCAGCTACTCGGGAGGCTGAGGCAAAAGGATTGCTTGAGCCCAGGGGTTTGAGGTTGCTGTGAGCTAGGCTGACATCATGGCACTCTAGTCAAGGCGACAGAGTGAGACTCTGTCTCAAATTAAAAAAAAAAAAGCCACTCTGTAGTACTTTGCTATGGCAGCCACAGGAAACGGACATAGGACATTACACTACTCTGCTTTTGTATGTGTCTTGAAATTTCTATAATTTACAACAAAACCTAATGGCACATTCTTCATGGGTGGAGCGAGGAGGCAGGCAGGAGGGAGACCCTGGGAGGCCCCACAGAAGAAACTGGATTCACGGAAATGGGGCCAGAAGCCTCAGAGGCCCTCAAGGCCCCATCCCAGCCACACTTGAGCACAGGGGCCTAGAGAGTCCCTGCCTGTCCACCCCAACCTGTCCCCTGCCCCAGAAACCCTCTCCCACTGGGCAGCTCCTGTTTTGTAGCCTGTAGAAGCACTGTCCAACTTAGGGCCTCTGCACGTGTCACCAGGCAGCTCCCTGCTCCTCACACCACTCAGCTCTCCACCATCCCTACCCAACTTGTTACATATGCCTCTCCCTACCTAGGGTGGCAAAGTCATTCCTTACAGGCATCACTGCCCTCCCTGTAAACTCCAGTGAACTTTGCAGGGTCCTGAGACCCACTCTGTGTCAAACCAGGGCCTCTGGGCACAGAAGGAAGCTTCCCTGGGCCATAATGGCCCTCCTGTGTGACCATAGACACCCCGCCTTGAGAGAGCAAAGGTAGGCACAGCAGGTGGCCTCAGCATCACTGGATCCCCAGTGAATGGAAGAAAGGTGCACCCACTTGTTCAGGGCAGGGGGTCCTGCTGACCACCAGGTGGGGCCCATCCCACTCACTCAGACACGACCTGGCCCCAACACCTAAGGGGCACCAGCATCACGTATCCAGGGCTGAGTGTAGCATGTTCTAGACAGGAACACATCAACTCCCACACTGACATGGTATGACTTCCTCCTACCAGCCATCAGGTTCCCCACCCAAGAGGACCCTGAGGACTCTGTCCTTTAGGCTGGGCCTGACCACTCAGAGGCAGGTAGGGTGTGACAGAGGGTTTATTCAGAGCCCCCCCGCCCCTTGGTCCCACACTCAGGCTTGGTGGGTGTGTCTGTGAACTCCCCGTCTGTGTCCTCACTCGGCACTAAGGAAGACCCTCTTGCGTGCGGTGTTGGTATAGGGGTGCCAGCGCCACTCCACGTCCGCTGTGGCCTCCTGCTCCAGCGTTCCTAGCCGGATCATGTACACTGGGGCAGGATGGGGCATTAGACCCTGCAGAGCCCCCTGCATAGCCCGCCTGCTTCCCCTCCCAGAACAAGGGACAAAGCCCCAAACTCACGCTTCAGCTCAAAGCGGGGCCCAACCTCGGTCAGCTCCACGTTGCGGCGGTCTATCTTCTTGTAGACATGGTGCCTGGTGGGTGAGTGGGGGCAACCGTGGGTAAACAGCACACAGCAAAGGGCATGAGGTCAGGACAGACCCTAGGGCATGGACCACAGACCCACCGGAATGAAATGTAGTCATCCTGGTTTGCAAAAGTGATGACACGGTGGCTGTCATCTTTGGGCACAGGGAACAGGTAACGGAGGATGTCAGAAACCTAGGGCACAAGGGGAAGGAGTGGCAATGCCTGGCCTGGTCCCTCGCCCCAGCCCTGGCCCCGGGATCCCAAACTCACCCGCTTGCCCAGGCGGGAGGAGAAGCCATGTGTGATGAGGTGGGGCTTAGCCTCCGATATGGTGCCAAGGTTCGGGATGTCGTGTCGCATGACCACGTTGCACAGTGTGAAGTAGGCAGTAGGGCCAAACGGCAAGTGGCTGACAATGAGCCCCACTAGCAGGGCCAAGTGGGCTGTCAGAGGCCCCACCTGCCCTCAGACTGCTCTGAGTTGGCCCCTCCCCTCCCCTCCTCACCCTCCAGCTTTACCAGGTGTGCCTCGATGTTCATGGATGACCAGCAGGTCAGTGACCCCATTGGCTTTGCAGGCTCGCACCAGTGCCCCCACCTCGTGCCGGCCTCGGTTCATGCGCTGGGCGCCTGGGAAGACCAGCTTCAGCTCCTATGTGCAGGCCACAGTGGCTGGTCAGGACTAAGCCACTTGTGCTGGTCCTCCTGCACTTGCTCCCCACCCACCAGTACCTTTGCAAACATCTTGAGGCGGGAACTGGGGTCTCGAGACGTAGTGATCATGACCTTGGGATCTTCGACCCCTGCCCATCGATACTCGTCATCCACATGGCTGGTCACACCTGGAAAAGCATGAGGGGCAAGAATGCAACAGTTTATTGGGAGTGAGATGCTAACTTCGGGGGGCCCTAGGCCATCTAGATGGTGCTGTCTGACGAAGCCTTCGACTATGGGAATGCTCCACACCCACACTGGGTAAGCCACGCTGGCTACCAAGCACAAGTGTGACTGAGGAACACAGTCTTTCATTTTACTTCACTTTAGATCACTTAAGCTGCACTTAGTCACAAGGGGCTAGTGGCTAATGTGTTAAACGGCACAAGCCCAGATTCTGCTAAGGCCAATGGTGACAGACCCATTTTCTTCTCAACAAATACTTACACTGTTTGGGATTCCTTTCCTATTGCTGAATAATGAAGGAATGAAACATGGGTGACAATGTGCTGGGTGCTGGGACACCTGCCCTGGCAGACATTCCAGTGGGGGGATAAATGACAATAAAAGCAAAGAGTAAGTGGGTGCCGTATAAATGAGGCAATGTGCACTGAAGGAGAGCCCCTGTGGTGCTGTCTGTGCTGATACAAGGGTACCTGGGGACAGTTCCAGAAGCAGTTGCTGTGGACTCTTTCCTAAGGTTGGAAAGTGCCTGGCTATCTGAGAAAGGACACATAGCCAGTGGACTCCATGTCAGGAGGCTGCACCATACAGTTACCTTCGCCCCCGGCGTCATCGAACTCCACGGATCCCTGTAAAGCCAAAGCCTCCCGGCGTAACTCAGTGGGAATCAGGCGGTTTTCTGTAGGGGGAGACAGAAGGGCTGAGTGAGCCAAAAACATGGAGCCCTCAACTTATACAATACTCTGTGCCTCACAAGCCTATATGAACTTGATGGAAAAATACCTCACTCCTTGCTGAGCAGGTGATACAGGATTACCTAGAGGGAGAAAAGGGACAAAACAACTTCTTTTTGTCTAAACACCAACCTATAAGCAGGCTGAGGACTTCATTTTCTATGGTTTTTGAGTCTCATAACATGAGGGCTTTCTAAAATATTTTAAAAATAAATATTATATGCATTGTTTTTATGGTCAGGCAAAAATTTTAAAATTAATTTAATTAGCTGTTGTCCCAGCTCCTAGGGAGGCTGAGGCAAGAGGATCACTTGAGCCCAGGAATTTGATGTTACACTGAGTTATGATGCCTTTGCACTCTAGCCAGGGCAACAGAGCAAGACCTTGTCTAAAAAAAAAATTAATTTTTAAAAGAAATACAGACTGCTCTTTATGTATGAAGGTGGACTGGAGACATTGAGACCCTCAAGACAACAGAGCTGCTAATCATGATGCACAGAATGCTTTGAGGTGCATGGCCTGTGGGCACGCCCACTTTGGAGTACAGAACTCACTATGAGCACACCTTTGGACCCATCCATCATTGACAGCAGCAGCGCTATTACTCTTAACTACCTCAAACTGAAAATAAGCTCATTGCCACCCACAGGAAAATGGATGGAGACCCTGCATAATATGCACCTGAAGGGGTTTCCCACCACACCCGATGGTCTTAGAAACAATTCTGAGTGAAAAAGTAAAGTTGCAGAAGAATGCACACAATCTAATGCTACTTTTAAAACTGAAACTTGACCAATAAAATTTAGGGATACACACAGGTATGATATTATAAGCACAAAGAACACAAAGAACAGAAAGATTTATATTTAAACAATATTCAATAGTTATCTACATTAGGGAAAATATTCCTGAATTTCAATTTATCTATCATTTTCTACTTTGTATCACTGGTGTTTAACACTATGCTTCTTACCGTAAACATACATACACATAGCACACACATTTCACAGGCCTAAAACCTAGGAACATCAAAGGGAATCTGAGGTCCTGAGGGTGATCCGCCATGAGACTGGAAACATAAAGCTCCAGCAACACAACAACCGACAACCTAGGGATAAACACAGCACTTCCAACCAGGCATGGGAGACACAGACTTCATTAATCTGGCAATGGAAATGTAGGGAAAGAATTACAAAATTTGATTCCCACCTCATAACACAAATGAAATTAAGTTCGACAAAGAACAACAGATTAAAAATTCAAGGAAATCATAATAGTGCTGAAAGACAAAAAGACATTCTTGGGTGATCCTGGAAGAAGGTAGGACCTTCTACATATCTGTAATAGAGAATATCTATAGGGTGTACAATTCGGGAACAACTAGAATAAGGTAGCACCTTCTACATATCTGTAATAGAGAATATCTATAGGGTGTACAATTCGGGAAGAACTAGACACACTGTGAGCAGCAAGCAAGGTGTAGTGTAAATGACAACTGGTACCATCACACGGAAGGACATTTTTTTAACGCCAACGAGAGAACCCCACAGGTAAGGAATCGGCCAGTAAATACTCGAAAAGATGCCCAGCTACACCGACACTCTTGCCGAGGAAACGCGTTTTCCACACCGCCGGCTCACCTTCGAGCGCGCGCCGGACCTTCTCTTTCCTCTCCTGGGCGGACCGCTGCGCCTCCTCGCGGGCCTTGCGGTACAGGTACTCGCGGCGCAGGCGGGCCTCGCGGCGCAGCTGTGGAGAAAGCCGGCCCGGTCACCACGCGTCCCCGACCCCAGGGCCGAATCCCCCAGCGCTCCGCGAGTCTCCCCGCGAGTCCCCAACCCCCGAGACTGGAGCTCCAACGCCTCTCCTACCATCCTGGGCGCCGCTCCCACGTACGTGTGGCAGAATCTGTTGGCGCCGCCGACGCGACACGGCCCTCGCTTCCGCCCTCAACCAAGAAGGTAGCTAGAAACTTCACTAGAGCCTGCCGCTGTCTAGAATGCCCTATATTAAGATGGCGAAGGGAGTCGCCAAGACGATTGGCCAGTCCGGCAGCGCGTGCTCGTTGGGGCAACCAACAGACTGGAGTCAGGACGCTGTCACGTGGCTTATGACGACCATCAATAAAGATGTCCGCTGCGGGCTTCACCACATTCCATCCCTACGCAGGATACCCAATTTTTTTTATGATGAACCTCTAAAACAATCGTATTGAGCGGCTCCAAACAGTCCGTCAACTGTAAAAACGGCACAGTGACTGATCTGGAGGTTTCCTGCCGTCGCATTCCGGAATTAAGTTTAAAGTCTCCCCTCCCTTAATGAAAATGGTTGCCATATTGCTTCGCCTTTTTCCGTTGCCACATTGGTAGCCCGACTTAGAATTCGGTCGCTTCCGGAAGCGACTCGGAACACCCGTAGACCCAGCCAGCAGTCCCTCTGGCCGATCCACCAGGGACGCTAATCGCACAAACCCGCTAATAGATACCTGGGTGCTGCCTCCCAGAGGGCGCTTGCAGGAAAAGGGGTTACTTAAAAGCCCTGATAGCATTGGCGTCCGAGCCCCACGGCTGGGAACGCTCCCTTGGGGGCGGGTCTCACGCTCCGATTGGCTGTCATGCCGGCGCAGCGGGCGGTGATTGGGCAACCTGGACGGAGGTGACTCCAGACCGGTCAGCCCACGGGAGACTCAAATGTGTGTCCATGGCTGTGCCGGACCTGCGAGCGGAGCTGGACTCCCTGCTTCTGCACCTGTTCCAGGACCTGGAAGAGCTGGAGTCGAAGCGGGCCGTGTTGAACGCCCGGGTGGAGGAGGTAGGCGCTTGGGGCGGGCAGGGGGGCACACAGACGTAAAGTGAGTCTCACCGTTCTCCGCTTTCTCCACAGGGGTGGCTATCGCTCGCCAAGGCTCGCTACGCCATGGGCGCCAAGTCGGTAGGGCCCCTGCAGTATGCCTCCCGCATGGAGCCCAAGGTCTGCGTCCACGTCAGGTGAGGCACCCTCGAAGCTGGAGCAGGTGGGCGGGATCCGGGCTCGGGCCGCCAGAGGTCCATCCTCCCTTCTCGTCCTGTAGTGAGGCCCAGGATGGACTCCAGAAATTCAGGGTGGTGAGAGCTGGCGCCCAGACCCCAGAGGAGGTGGGGCCCCGCGAGGCAGGTGAGTCACCCCTTTCTCCTGTCAGGACCCCTTTCCAGAAAATGCACAGAACTCTTGAGGAGATGGTTTTATTTAGGCTTTTGTGATAGAGCACCTCGAGCTAAACAACAGAACTTCTTATAGGGTGGTTTTGCCTTAGACTTTTATAGGGAGGATTAGAGAAGTTAGAGGTGGGTTGCTTGGCAGTTGGGATAGTTTTGCAATCACGGAAGTCTCAGCTGAACAAAAAATAAAATGTTCATCTTTGCATCTAGCTAGTTTTATAGGGACAAACTTCTAATCCCAGTTAATTATTCCCGAGACAACAGGGAGTTGGAGATTCTGTGCCTGGCCTTTCAGCATGTTCAGGCAAAATGGTTAATTAAGGTCAGTGTGTGGCCTTGTCACAAGCAAACAGGGTCATCTCTGGGTCTTATAGCAGTTCATGAGCAAGAGTAGACAAGAGAGTCACATCTGAATCAGAAGGGGAAGGGTGGTGCTTGGTGATAAACTGCTTCCCAGGATACAAAAGTCTGGGGTATTTCCCAGCCATCAGTGTTTTTCAGACTCATGAGCTCAGATCAGGCTCAACATTGTTGCCAAGACCATAAAGATCAGGTAGTTAGATCCCAGCTTCCTTCAGCATCCCCCCCCACTCCCCCAGGTTTGCGGAGGCGCAAGGGCCCCACTAGGCCACCAGAGCCCTCCGAAGCCCCCCAGGACCCCCTGAACTGGTTCGGAATCCTGGTTCCTCACAGTCTACGGCAGGCCCAAGCCAGCTTCTGGGATGGTGAGTGTACCCTGCCAGATGGCCATGTGACCCTGGGCTAAATTCAGACCCTCAGTCAACAAGGGAGCATTTGAGCACTAATGCCATGGCTGGAGTTAATCTGCAAAGGGCTTTGCAGGTTTTCTCCAGTACATACTTTTGTTGCACACCTGCTGTTTTTTCCAAAAGCATTAGCTGGCTGTTGGCAGCCTTCTAGGCTTATGCTAGTTGCTGGGGATTCAACAGGGAACAAAAGGAACAAACACTGTTCATGGAATGCTTATTTTGTGGAGGGGAGAAAGGCAATGTGCAAATGAATAAGTAGGCCCTTAATCTAATATCAGGCTGTGAAAATTGTTATGAAGCAATAACAGGATGGAGTGGGACAAGAGTGGGCTGAGGGAGCTATTTTATGGAGGGTGGCCAGGGAAGATCTCTCTGAGGAGATGAAGGAAAAGCCTTTGGTCACCTGAGGTAACAGTGTTCTAGGCAGAGGGACTAGCCAGGGCAAAAGCCCTGAAGTGAGATCTGTCTGGTTGTTGCAGGAAGAAGGACATAGAAGGGGCCAGTGGGCTGGAGTGGAGTCAGTACAGTGGGAGTGCTGGGAGCTGAGGGCAGGGGGTGCAGGCCCAGGTGATATGGAACCTGAGGAGGACTTTGGGAGTCACTGGGCAGAGGAGGGTGCAATTGTATGCAGAAAGTCACAAGAGTTCTTTGAGTGCTGTGTGGGGACAGACTGGAGAGCAGAGGAAGGAGGCAGGTGCCAGGGAGCAGCCAGGCATGAGCTGCAGGTGGAGGCAGTGGAGGTGGGAGTAAACAGTGGGAACCTGTGCATATTTTGAGGTAGAAGACCCAGACTTTGTTGACAGATTGGATGTGGGAATAGAGAAGGAGAGGAGTCAGTGAGAGCCTACATCTCCACCCAGAACCCCTGAAAGGATGGAGCTGCCCTCAGCTGCTGTGAGGGGAAGTCTGTGCTGTGTGGTGTCCCCTGACACCCAGCTGGAGAGTCCAACTGGGCAGTTGGGCATGTATATCTGGAGTTTGGGAGAAGCCTGGGCTGGAGAGAGATTTGTGAGTCCACTGTATAACACTGGCGTTTAAATTCCCAGGTTGTTGACAAGGTCAAAGCTAAGATGGGATGAAGTCAGCAGAGGTCCCAGAAGTGTGGATGGGAGGTGAGGGAGAGGAAGAGGAGAAACTAGTCAAGGAGATTGAGGAGCAGCACCCATAGGGCAGGTTGTCTGGAAGCCAAGAGGAGAGAGTGTTTCCTGGACGGAATGATCATTTGTGGGGTCAGCAGAGCTGCCAGACAGGAGGCTGACAACTGAGGACTGCCTGGCGGACCAGGCGGTATGGTGGGCCCCGAGGATTGGACAGTAGCTGTTCCAGCAGAGGCATCAGATGAAAGCCACCGAGAGGTGGATCCAGAGTGTGGACCACTCTCAGGCTGAGAAAGAAGGTGGAGGGAGAATGGCTGTGAGAGCATTGAGGAACTGTGACAATGGAGGGAGGGAGGAAGGAAATGAGTGCTTGAGACAATGTTAGGATCTATGAATTTTTAGTTCCTGGTAGGTTATGTAAGGGAGTCAAGGAAGTCTTCTGAGGAGGTGACATTTTAGAAAAGACCTGAGGAAGGTGTAAGGGTGTGGGTCCAGTGAGGTTCTGGAGCAGTGAGTGCAAGGCCATACCTGGAATGTTTTAGTTAGGAATAATGTGGAGGCCAGAGAGGCCTGGAGCCTTTCCAATCCCTGGGAGTGTCCAGAGCCTTCTGGGTCATGTGTCACACCATGATAACATGGTAACATTCTCTCCTTTCCTCTAGGCCTGCAGCTGGCTGCAGACATAGCCAGCCTTCAGAACCGCATTGACTGGGGTCGAAGCCAGCTCCAGGGACTCCAGGAGAAACTCAAGTTGGAGCCCGGGGCTGCCTGACCTGCATCCACAGAGGAAAGGCATTGAACACAGCTATCCTTTGATGTGGCTGCCTTATCACAGGCCTTCATAAGTACTTATCACAAGTACCCCTACCCCCACCCCACCTCAGCTATAGCCCCCTCCATGTCCCTGGTCTGCATGTTTCCAGCTTTGTTAGGTGTGAAGTTTGAAAAGGTGAACTGAGCAATGTGGAAAGCCACTACTTTGAAACCATCCCTAGGTCTGTGTTCTTATAGGACACATTCCCATGGGGGCAGCTGCATATGGATCAGTCAGGTGTGGTTTCATTACAGGGTGATGAAACACTGGACAAACAGTGGTGGGAAGGACAGACAGTAGTGCTTCAGGTTCACTAGATCCTCAGAACTGAACTTGCTGGACGAGAAAACCATTCATGGCTGTCAGACCAGGACAATATGATTTGAGTCAATAAAAATGCAAACACCTGAGTGGATGGGCAGCCCTTGGCAGGGTCTGAGCCAGAAGGTAAAAAGGATTTGGCTTATATTTTTAAGGGAACTCTTGGAAGAGACCTTCCAGGTTTTAAAAATCCTGACTTTTACCGTGAGTGAGGCCAAGCCTCTCTTCATTTGTTGAAGGGCCAGTTTTGTTTCCTGTTATAAGAATTAGCTTCATTTTTCTACTGGGTTGTTGATCTTTAGCAGTTTCTAGGAGCTCTTTATGTTTGGGGGAATTAATCCTACAAAGGACTGTATACTATGTGTGTCTAATATGAGATGTAAATATTTGTTCCTAGTTTGTTTCTTAACTTTGCTTATGGCTTTTTTTTTATTATAAAATAAAACATTACATCAAACTGCACAGAACAATTGAATACCTTAGTGAATAAGGTGAAACTATAGTACCTGCCACCCAGCAGCTCTTGTGTTTCTTAATTTTTAAAGTAGAGTTGAATTTATCCATCAGATGTTATGATTTCTGGATTTGGGGTGGTCATTGGTGAGGGGATAAGGTGATTCTCTAGCATTTTCAACTTATGTGGTTTCAGTTGGGATATTGAATGAGTCCTACATGGACTTTTTCTACCTTACGGCCACAAACTGTGTTAATTACTCCCCCTACTCTGGGTTTCAGATGCCACCTTTTTTTTGTTTGAGACAGAGTCTCCCTAGAGTGCCAGGGTGTCATCATAGCTCACTGCAACCTCCAACTCCGGAGCTCCAGAGATCCTCCCGAATGAGTTGGAGGATTACAGGGAAGAGCACTGGCACAGTGCCACTCACAGTGCAAACCCGCTCTAAGACGGGGACTTCCATTCTGATGGGATGGCTTTGCTGTCAGTTTGGACATTGGTGCACTGTGTTAACATACATTTTAACCCCCTAGGCAGATAACACGGTTGGGTTGCAGGGGAATCGTTTTCTTCAGCCACATTGAGCTTGAGTTGCTAATGAAAAGCCTAATGGGAGAACTCAAATGGACCCCCCCAAACCCTTGAATGGAGGGAAAAAGAGTACCCCTACCCCCATACACGAAAGAACAGAGGTTTGAGTTTCACAATAAAATCCTGTTACTGCAAAGTGCCAATGAGTCAAATTTTGAAGCTGAAGTAAGGGAAAAAGAACATTCAATTTCTGCTTTGACCCTAACTTC